ATCAAAGAATATTCTAGAAATGGGCGTGGCTATATTAAAACCAAAGTTCAAAAATTTAGACTTTATTGTGGATTTCGCCAGAATACCTATATGGATTGAAAAAGTTGCGGAACAAATATTGTTAACGAAGCGATATTCTGCCGAAATCCGCAATAAAATCTGCGTTTTGCTAATTTTAGTCCTGCAATTGTCACGCCCATTTCTAGGGGTTTGTCGCCTTAAAGAAAAATCTTGCCATACAAATATTATATCTGGATAGGTATTCTATCGGAATCCGCAATAAAATTTTACTTTTTGCAAAAACCCGATGTTTAACACCTTACCAAATATATCTTCACATAAGTTTTCGAAAAAAAATTACAAAAAATGTTTGATTATCACAAAATAAACCACCTCGTCATAAAGAAAAATATTTTAAAAATAGTTCTTGAAAACACCCAATTTTTTTGAACCACGTTTTGTATAGAGAATCAAACAAGGATTACGATGGTATAATTTTAAATCCCTAATTTACTGGTCTTCACTATGCAAATCAACTTCAAAAAGTTCAACTGTTAATAGCTAAGTTAGCTTTGGGACAATCTTGACCATCTTATATATAGAAATGTTAAGCCCGTTTCTTAGCTTTAAAATGACGTTAAGAAACCGAGATATAACGATTTGAAGAAGTACATGATTAGTCAGAATCACAAATATATGCAAACTTTGACAGATTATATCTCCGAAGAAAAAAAAGAGGAAAAAAATTCCCCGAACACGTGTTAGCTTAATTTGAAGCGAATCGAATTTACGACATCCGTCCGACTTAAAAAAGAATGGCTCATATAAAGGAGTAAGCGGCAACTCGAATCATCAAGTCGTTCGGAAAGAAAATCAAAATCAGTTTGATTCGAACAAAGAGTGTCCAGCACATTTTTGTTGTGCTCTCAGTGAGACAAAGTGGGAAAGGAACGCTCAAAATTACTAACAAGTAGTGTCCGGACAGGAACGGTGAATCCGCCTTAAATCGATTTCCAAAAACTGCTGGGAAGTTGTTTCTGGCCTCTTTTAATGTCAAATTTTCTATAATAATGGAGTTTAATGTATGAGCTTTGTTTCTGGCAGAATAATTTTTATCCAAAGCAGAATGAGATCCTTTACAGTTGGTACATTTAACAATTTCCTTGCAACCTTCTGATACGTGGTGATCTATTGAACTTTTTGGATAGATACTAATGGATTGTTTGCTTTCTGTGCTGCGTGATTTAATCTGTAGCATTTATAGTATTGAGCTAAATTTATAAAATGCTTAACTGGTAATTTGGTATATGAAAATGATACCTCTTTTGATAATTCAAGTCCGTCAAAGAATATCTTTATACGTTTGTTTGTAATACTCGAATCAGGATCATTAGTATCACGTCTTATTATCCTTATCGCTCTCAGAATCGGGATGGTGGAATTAGTAAAATTAATAAATTCTTCGATAGAAATTTCAATTGGAATATCAAAAACAAAACCAATTATAGATACAAAAAGAGGCAACATTTTTGTAACTAATTTATATTCATGAAGCTTAGTATATGCCAGAATATTTGCATCCATAGCTGTTTTTAAGAGAATTTTGCAACGGCTGAAACCAATTTTCTGCACATGACTTATTCCTTCAATGCGTTAATTCATTAATATTTTTGTTATGCTAATAGCATTAATAGCTCTTCGAACCCTATATTCCGTGATAGTATCAATATATGCCAAGTATGGACCTTTACGATTGTTATTATACCATATTGGATCCTTCAGATTAGATTTGAAAGTGACCAATTCACTCAAGTTCCGGTTATCTGTGATAACTCCTTCATCATCTTCTTTTTTCTTCTTAGATTTCCTGACTGAAGAGTTACTCCGACTTCTAGGACGCTTATCCTTGCTCCAGGGCGCCCATCCGCCTCCATAATTGAAAAAATGTATGTTATATGTAATGTATGTATTATATGTACATAAGTGGGAATAAATTATTTATATTTAATTCCAGAACAAATATTTTAGAGCACACAATTTTTCCCACACGACTGCTTGCTATGATCGTTCGTTGAAGAATTGCGTTTTGCTGCGGATGCGCTGTCAACAGTATGCTTGCGGAGAATTCCTTTCTGTGTAGGGGGCCTTTGGCCGCGCTTAGGGGTTATATCCCTTACTAAGTAGAATCTCTTGTGTGAAAGATATATAACGTTTCTTGTGCATATAACTCCGTCTACGGCATCCACAGTGTGTTAACTCATCATTTTAAGGTCAGGACAGCGACAGGATGCCTTCTGATGTCGCTGCAACACCACCTGCACGACGAGGCCCATATACTCCCCGTTAAGGAGCACAACACAATGCTCTGCAAGCAGTTTCTTGTTGGGAGCCACAGACGTGGTCACCCGAACAGACAACTGCTTGCAGAAGAGCCCTCGCCCAGGCACGTCAGTAGGCATCTCTACGAACTGACGGACGAAGTCCAGAGGTTCATCGAACAACCTCTGGACCCGACAGCTTATCGACAGGCCTTGAACGGCAGTCTCGAGTTATGTAGACTCTCGACCTGTGAATGCCGTTCTGGGCATACAACCACCAGACGTGGGCGAGACAGAACTTCGTCTGCCTCGGGAGACTCGGAGCACAATAGCCCAACTGCGCTCTGGTTACTACAGAAGGTTGAACTCATACCTGAGCAGATTAAACGAAGATGTTCCTAACGAATGCCCGGCATTCGGAGAGTCGCCCCATGACTCACAACATCTTTTCGTAGGCCCTCTAAATCCCACCTCACTAACGCCCCTGTCCCTATGGACAGACCCCGTCGAGGCTGCACGTTTCCTAGGGCTATCGCTAGTAGAGCTTGACGACAACGATTGAGGGACTAACCGATCTGGGCGGGGTTGTTGTAGCCGCTACAACAACAACAACAACAAAGGGGCAAAACCATCCCAGAGTTAAATAATCCCCTTCAAATTTATTTTCAAACGCTACTGAGGATACGTCAAATTCGTTTGAATGTGTTTGTCACATATATTCACAGATTCTTATACATGGAAAACGGGCGCGTGCGCAAAACGTACACTTGGCTCAAAACTATCTCCCTTTGATTGCTGAATCCAAACACATTGCGCAGATAGGTTACTGCCAATATAGAAGTATTAAGGCGGATTCACCGTTCGTGTCCGGACTCTTTTTCTTAGTAATTTTATGCGTTCCTTTCCCACTCTGTCTCACTGGGGGCGCGACAAAAATGTGCTGAACACTCTTTGTTCGAATCAAATTGATTTTGATTTTCTGTCCGAACGACGTGATGATTCGGGTTGCCGCGATCTCCTTTATATGCGTTTGCAGCGAATTGCATATATTATTTGCCCCCAAAAACGTATATAGGCAACGATATCATCAGCTGTTTGCCTCAGAACAAAATAAAATGCGCCGAACTGAACGGTGAAACGTACTTCAGCACCCTCTCCGGCAAAAATGTTTTGAGAGCAAATAAAAAATTGTCCGGACACGAACGGTGAACCCGCCTTTAAATATATGGAGGCAACAAAGACATAGGAGCAGTGTCGCCGTTGAGAATTTTCAGAAAGGTGCAAAAAAGGGGTGATTGACGAAAAAAAGGGTCAGCATTTTAGTTATGCTTTTTACTAGTAAAAGAATAAATCTGCTGAATTTAATAAGAAAATAGCGGGACAAGCTTAGCATAAAACACGGTTGCAAACATATACATAAATCTTTTTGCTGCAAGAAGAAGAGTTGCATTTCCTTTAAAAGTTTTAGGTGTTGAATTGTTTAGTACTAACAGGAGGAAATATTTTTAATAGCATGTTTCTGTTAACATTTCCAAAAAAAAAATCTGAAAAGGCGCAAAAGTCGCACATAATTTTGGAAAAGGGTCAAAAAATCAAAATTTTTAAAAAGGCGAGTCAAAGGTTATTGGCGCTTAAAAAGGGTAAAATTGCCCCTTTATTCGCACAACGGCAACACTGCATAGCAGCCTTGCTCGTTTAATAGGATTGCGTGCGAACAAGCGGCGCTCGCTCGTTTGCTGAGCAAGCCAAACTTCTCGTGTCTCACCTCATTGCTGCTACGAGTACGAGCTGCGAGCGTCTCGTTGCCTGCGAGGCATTGAGTAGCAGTTTGCTCGCTCTCTCGCTCGAGCTCCGAGCTTTTGCCTACCTGGTTCATTGTGGCAAGGAATACAGCACACAGATGTTAACTTGATAGACTTGTATAATAAGTCGGTTATGTTTTATCCTCAGATTAACGAAGGCATTCAAATGCTTTTAGCTTTGCCATACTCAACTGCGTCCATTGAGAGGTCGTTCAGCACACTTCGGCGTGTCAAAACTTGGCTACGATCAACAATTCAAGAAGACCGCTTGAATGGCTTGTGCATGCTCAGCATTCAACGCAAACTGGTTGAGCAAATGGGAGATGAACTTACAGCCCTAGGTCGAAGGCTGGCTACGCCCTTGAGTACAACATGAAAATAGGTGCCTAATAGTTCCCTAACCTTCCATTTTTATTTTATTAAAACAACCGTTATTTTCGTACTTGATGCACTTATCTTAAAAATCAAATATGTTTTGATAAGGGGATTAATAGGCTTTTAAAATGATGTATAACAATATATTGTTAGACTTAGCTTGTTGGGACTTTCCATCGAGTAACATTTGGAAAACCTCTATTTTTCTTAATTTTTTCTACTTTGACCATGGCGAATTTAAAATATTTCTATGAAAGTTGCCAAATATGTAGTATTCATTTCAAAGTACATCGACTTTCGAATAAATTTATACCTCACCTCATTCAATTGCATAAAAATTGTCGAGGTTAAGCAATTTAAGTAGAAATACTGCCTTGAATTTGTATGTGTGTATGTACCGGACTTTCAGAATTTTTGAGCAGGCCGGCTAAGGAATTCATCAGTATTTATTCAGAATTGATATAAACAATGGCTATTTGGAAAAAATGGTTTTTCGTTAAATTTTAGGAAAATGGGCTTGACACCGGGCACTTCATATATCATACATGAGAAAATCTCCCGAGTTATTTTTTTAGTGTCACTTCCTCCTCTCGCCAGAAAAAAATAAAAACGCTAAAGCATTCTTCTTGCATATGTATTTCAATCAATAAAGTTCCAGAAAGAAGTATCTACAAAAAAAATCAAGGATTTCAACAATTTTAGCCTTAAAACGTTTGTTTAGGTGAAAAAGTAGCGAAATTACTAATTTTTTCTTTGTCACTCGAAACAATCATTGTTTTTTTTTCAAAAGAATGTCCATTAGAGGCAATGGACGTTGACATCAAATACAACATATCTTTGAAGTTTCAATAGTGTGCCACCAAATGGCAGCATCATAATATCTGCCGCAGCTATTTTATGATTTTTCAAATTTTACGATCTTTCTATATTTTAATAATTTAAAATACTTCCAAATTATTAAACAAAAACGGTGAAAATGCTCTTCTTGCCAAAAAGAACCGACTTCAAATCTCATATAAAAATTTAAGAAAACCGTTAATTTCTCGATGATCCAAGGATCGGATTTAAACCAAATTAGTATGGGAGCACCTCTGAGGTATCACCTTTCCTTTAAGAAAGAAATTTAGAAATCGGCTAACGTTGTCCAAAGTTATGCGGTAACATACATAAAAAAGAAAATATTCCGACGAATTAATAAACTTCTAATTTTTTTGAAGTCGGTTAAAAATTACATTGACTAAAAGATGACAAAAACACAACCGACTTCAATTCTCATATAAAATTTTTGGAGTACCGTTAATTTCTTTATGATCCAATGATCGGATCTAAACCAAATTAGTATGGACAACCTCGGAGACTCTACCTTTCCGATAGAAAAAGAATTATCGAAATCGGTTGACGTGATCCAAGGTTATGCGGTAACATACATCAAAAAAAATAAAAAATATTCCGACGAATTGATAACCTTCTCCTTTTTTTGAAGTCCGTTAAAACTTTGTAGTTAAAAAAAAAATGACTTGTAAAGGATTTTTTTTGAGCTGAATACAGTACGTACATAAGTTTTTAGAGAGTAAAATGTGGCATAATCTTTACAGTTTATTATTATTAACAACGAAAAAACCCGGAAAAACGGTCCCTGACTTACACGCCGCGACAAAAGATAGCACATCAAAATTTTTACCAGTTTTGACTACTTTTCTTTTGCTTTTTTTAAGGTTCATTATTTTTATAAAAAAAGTATAGCTCTTTATCTAACAAATGCCATATACAGTGTGGAGACGAATAACTGTTACCCAGGTTTTTTTGAGAAATAAATGGGTTTTTTTTATAGATTTTGCGAAAAAACTATTTTATTATAAATTTTCCATTGATTTTACTTTAGTTGTATTATATAGTTTTTAAATTTTAATCCTTATTTACATTTGCCAGCAGTGTAAACTTTGAGAGGAAAGTTCATTTGGCACGCAAGTCTTTTTCAGGTGTATTTTTTCTTAGGCTTTGTATAAAAAAAAGACAAAAAAATAGAAAATCTGTATTGGGTTGGTCGAATGAATGGCCGTCCTAGTCACCAGTTCCGAGTCTATTCGATTTTTGAGTATGAGGCCTTATGTTGGACAGAAGAGGGAGTATGAGGGACTCAAAATTAAGAAAATTAGCCTATGGTTACAGAAGATATGGAATAAATTACCGGACGAAGACCTGCGTGCCAAATGAACTTTTCTCTCAAAGTTTACACTGCTGGCAAATGTAAATAAGGATTAAAATTTAAAAACTAATTAATACAACTAAAGTAAAATCTGTGGAAAATTAACAATAAACTACTTTTTTCGCAAAATCTATAAAGGACCCTTTTATTTCTCAAAAAACCTGGGTAACAGTTATTCGTCGCCACGCTGTAAATCTAAGTTTCAGACTTTGTACAAAAATTATACAAATTTCACCAACTTTTCA